GGAGGTGCTGGGCGTGAGGGCAGCCACGGTAACGTGCGCACATCGATCCTGGCCAGCGAGCGTACTCGTCGCTTGGAAAACATAAGTGTGAGAGAGCGCGATTAAATCTTTGGTCTTGTCCTCTTGTTTTTTGACCCGAGAGGTAACTGAAGTGTAGGCGCTTTGGGGTTGGCTTATTTTGGGGGGTGGGTGAGCTAAAGGTTTAAACAAATAGAACAGTTTCAGTAATTCGCTACTTTGCTGCTGCCTTGTTTGTGTTTAATTCTGTCGTCTTTTCTAAACAGCAGAGAACTGTCAGGACAGCTTCTTTACCTAAGGCTTTTACAGCTGATACTTGGGACTTCTGCTCCTGCATTAATAATTCTCTAACTATTGTGACTTTTGTTGTGCTTCTTCCCTAAACTTCTAAACTTAAAACCAAAAAGCTGACAAATACGATTTCTCCTAGCTTACCTGTGCACAGTTTGGTGGCTCCTCTTGTCCTGTTTCATTATAAGTCTCCTACAGGGGTAATGACATTGTATCCTCTTTTACATAACTGTAGACAAGTTCACAACATTTTAAGGGTAAAGGAAGACACTGATTTTTAAGCAAAACCCTTTAACTCCGTGTTTAGCCTAGAGTTAGTTATGATACCTTAATTCTAAAGCTTTGGTAACAAAGATTAGCCTTCTGATATTAATAAATGATCTCTGGAATGCAAATTAGTGCATTCCTTGAAAGGCAGAGAAAAAACCTGACAAAAACCACTGTAAAACTTGGGAACTCTGTAGATGCTTATTCCTATAGGTAATGTCAAGTTCCACCTCTTGTTTTATTTAGACAAGGACTTCCAAAACACGCCTTGCGGCATCACCCGCTGCCAGAACCAGGAGCTGAGGTGTGCCCAGCCACGCCCACGGCTGAAAACCATGGCAAGACCTCAAGGTACTCATCCTAACATAAAATGTATCTTTGTCTGGAGACAATGGCAAAAGCAGGCACCTTTGTGTTTTGTTGTCTTTACAGAAGTAATACAGTAGTAGGCTGAGGCTTTACCCCAGAACTGTACCATTGGAGAACATGTTCTTCCTATTTTGGCAGTAGTAGAAAGCATGTCGCTGTGTTCTGTTCCCATCTCACAAATAGCTCGGGTAATCTGATTTTAAGGCAGAAACAAGAGGAGAAAAGATAAAATAATTCCTGAGTGGTGTAGAACAAAGACTGGAAATAGTCTGCTGCTTAACTGAGATAATTTTTGGAAAATCTATGCTTTGCTTCACCTCTAGACTTCCTGTGTCATTGGGATTATTAGTAGTTACAGTTGCTATAATTACTTGTGTACTGTAGGTTCTGCTTAAATGCCCCTGAAGTAAATATCCTATCAAAACTCTTACCATTGCTAAGATCTATTCTGATATATTTATGGTTTTTGTTGTATGGTAAGAAAAGTTTACTTTATTTGTCATTGTGTATTGGGGTTTTTTTCTTTCTTTTTTGACTCAATATGTTCATTTCAGGGAGTCTGAAATCCGGAAGGAATCGGATTACCCTTCTGTTACTCCAGCTGATCATGGGAATTCATGGTCTGCTAGTCAGGGTTATGCTGATGCCTCCACCGAAGAGAGCTCAGCCTTCTCTTGGGGCTATGATGTGAGTAGAACATAATCATTCAAGCCAAATCTAGCACAGTGAGTAGAAAGATACTTGAAATACCATACTGGCAAATACATTGCAGGATAAAAATGAGGATTGGATCTCTCCCTAAATCATAAAATAACATCTTCTTTACCTCTTCTCCATCATTCCTTTCTCTTGGATCAAATCATATTAGGCTCATGTTACTCAATTAATATTCTGCATTAATATTCCATCTAGCATTTTGAAAATGCAAATCATGTAAAGCACAAGTGTATCTGTACAACATAATAAATGCCTATTGTGGAATCCTAAACATGAGTGGATGACTTTCAGACACTTGGTATGAGTTTATCAAACTCCTGCACACTTGTATGTTTCTCAAAATACAGTGAGCCCCTAAAACGTTTTCATCTAGAAATACTTATTTTATTCTCTGTCTGCCCAAAGTATGCTATAGCTTTCTGCGACGTGAGATGGCACTGTTTAGATTTAGATTACCCAAGAAATGACCCCATTTTCTAGAAGATGTAACAAAGGTCCTGAATGTCCTTCAGTTTCACAGTGTAACACACCATCCTGCATTGCTTTCTGCTTTGCTGTTGTCTATGGACATGGCAAGCAACAGATTTTCCATTTCATTAAAGTGTCGCTTTTATACTTCCTGTTCTGATTTCTTTCATATAAATTGCTATGTCTTTAATATAACAGTACATATATTTCAAGATATTTTAATAATTAATCTGTTGTGTTGATGAAAGCTGTATGTGTAATCATCAGTCTTAACAGCAGTCTGCATCATCACCGGAGAGAAATTATTTAATGTCTTTCTGTGCAAAAAAGCCAAAACTGATTAAAGTCCTACTAAGCTTTAAACAATTTGTTGTCTTTTTCAATTACTAAAAAAAAAATCGATTTAAAAAAACCCTCTAAATGCTATTCACTAGGTATTTATTGGATAACTTTCTTCTCTAGGAATTTGATAAAGCTGCCACACAGCAAGTTGAGCAGATGTTCAGACAAATTGATGAGCTTCTCTATGAGCAGAAAGAAAATGAGCAAATTGAGGGACTGCGGGAAGAATGCCAGCAGTGGACATCCAACTTTCCTCATCTCAGGTATTGTATAGACTAATGTTAGTACCATCACAGTTATAAAAGGGTAGGGATGGAAACAGTTGCTTTTAAAATAGCATTAGTAACAGGGTGGTTTTATGCAATTCTGTAGTATTATTGTAGTATAGCTAGAGATAAAAAGATGACTTTGGTAGTCTGCCTGCCATTGTCATTAATAAACATTCTCCTATCTCACATTTGGTTCCTTGCTAGAGGATTGTTGCTATTTGCAATTGACTTGGCTTTAATATAGCCAAATTCTCTTAGGAAAGATTTATGGTTGAGCTGAAAGCCAGGTCCTTAAAATAATTTTAAAATCCTTCTACCCTAGTTCAGCAGTCCTTCTGGCTATCTAGAAACTTACATTTTAAATCTTAGTTACATGAACTTGAACAGTTTTGTCCACATTCGAAAGTCTTCCAATTAGCAGAGCATAAAAAACCGAGCAGCATTTTCTTAATGTGTTTGCCTGACTCAAAGCAATCCGTACTAGAAGAACAACTGAAACCACCTTTAACTATCATAAAGAAAACCACATAGAATTCTTAGGATTTGCTGCTGTGTCTTCTCACACTTCAGTAATCATACTCTCGGTATTTTCTGACGTGTTTATCCTTTGCTTTTGCCATGGCAGGGTTGTGGGGAAGCAGATTGTGATCCCCACAGATGAAGGGTACAGATGGTATTCAAGTTTACCTTCTGGCAGTTTAGGTTCCTCAGATGTAAGTTCACCAGAAAAAGATTCTAATGAGTAAGTACCAGTGGTTAACCCAGACTGTACCGAGGTGGGACGGTAATTTTGTTCTCAGTAGACTGCAGTGATATGCTTCTTAAAATGTGAAGCCTAACTCCCTTCTGTTAGGCTGAGTTTTGAACACAGCATTTGGAATAGCAAGACTGCTTGTTGCTAACTACGGTAAACTAGTCAGCAAATAGAAATACTTTTGCTGCTATTGACTTCTTAACAATATGTGTGTATTGTAGCTGGGTTTATTGTTAATCATCTATTAAATTTGTATAGAACTTAAAAACCATGAAGCATTAGTTTAGTACTACTTTTATCATTTAACGTTTTAGGATGGTTTTTAATTAGCTTTGATTTTATTTTATTTTTTTTCCCTGAAGATTCAGGTTTCTTGGCAAGAATTAAGAATATCCAAACCAAAAGTTTTTCCTTTAATACATAACTAGTTGGCCTCCCTCCTGCTGGGCCTTAACTACCATGTTATCTCTCAGTTCACAAAATGCTGCTATTTGAAGTGGAATAACAACCTGTTTTAATTTCTGCTTTCTGAAAACTGTCACCTGTTCAGATTTAGTGTTTTTGGCAAGAAGGTACCTCTTTCTGTTACTCCCATTCACAAAAAGGCTGACCGTTCCAAGTCGTCGACCTTGTGTTCTCCTGAGAGCGAAGAAGGTGAAGATGGAGTAATTGTCTCTGAAGGTGTAATGGAGGAATATTTAGCATTTGACCACAGAGATGTGTAGGTATTGAATATTAAGATAGCAGCTAGTATCAGTGTCCTGGAATGCCTGCTGTTAATATATATATATTTGGCTTTGATGTTAGTTGATAAATTGTTAGTTGGTAAATTTGATGAATTTATTTTTTTGTATATCTTTTCCCTAGAGAACTTTCAAAGGCCTGAGGTAGGATGCTTGGGCACTGGAAATTCTCCCAATCCATTTCCTAGAACAATTTATTTTGCTAATTATTTTTCTGATTTTTTTTTTGGTAGTTTTTCATACTAGTCATTTTTATACCTGGTTTAAATAGTTAATTCAGTCATAACTAAGAGCCTGATCTGTATTTGCATATTTAATAAAACTTATTTAAATGCCATTTATTTTTTTACACTAAGTCAAATTCATTGCTGTTTTTTATGTGCTAGCAGTGTGCTACTTTGGTTTCGTACTGGCATTTTGGGTGGAATTGTACCTTTCCAGATTTTCAGTGGTAATTTAAGAATTGGTGTGGATTTGATGCTTGCCAAGAAAAAAATACCACTGCTTTTATCTTAAGAAGAAAGAATCAAGGGTAGTATAAAGAGGATTCTTTTTTGTCCTTTACTTCATTCAACCCAACAATATGAACATATGGCCTGGATAAGGACTCTGGGTGGTACTGTCAGTTGCCAACTACTTAATTGGTTTTAATAAAGAAAGCCACTTAGCTGCATGGACTGTGAGATTCAGGTATGGACCATGAGATTCAGGTTGGTAGGTGGCATGCTTTGACTAGGCCAGAGGGACATTGCTGCAGCAAACAATATTGCTGTCTCTGTGAAGCAACAGTGAAGTATGACAGCTTTTTCTAGTGGCATCTCCTTTGTTTTTTTTTCTTTTTTTCCCCCCAGGTTTTTAGTTTTTGGATGGTAGGTACTGATTTAGGGAACAGGTAAGAAAGCCATAATGAATGTACTTGCATCAGTATTATTTTCTCCCTTCTATAAAGTTTCTTTTGGCTGATGAACATAAACTTTTTGGAACAGTTGTCTTCCAGGTTTCACACTTCAGAATACCTCTTGCAAAGGCCACTTGCTGCTGTGTATTATGTTTTTTCTTCCATCGCATTGATTACATCTAGTTGTCTAAAACTGAATGAAGCCTGACAAATGAACGAATATCACTTGAACTGTTGATATTTTTAGAAATATTTTATATTTAGATATAAACAGATATATTTAGGTATAGGTTTACATTATATCTATGTATCTAAAAATATTTATTTTCTATCTAAATTTTTGAGAATTGTTTTTAACTGGAACTTTGATCTCCTTGGTAAATTATTTATTTATTATTCAAGAAGTATCATTTATAGTTATACTGTATGGGGAAAACAAGGTGTGCCATAATGAGGTGATTGTCTCTGTCATTTCTTATTTAGGTCAGTGGTAGACTCTGGAAGAAATAAAAGTTCAAGTGTCCAGTGTACAGCAACTTAATTATTTCAGTATTAGACTGTTATTTGATACTGCTCTCAGAAAATAATACTTTGTAATAAATACAAAAACTTCTCCTGAAATAATGTCTTCAAGCTCTTTGGCCAGCTGCCTTCACCTATTTCAGTTTAGGAGAAAATGGAACACAAATGCAGCATTAGCTGATGTTTTATTAACTAAATGCAACAACATATGACAGAGAAAATATGTTTATGGTACAGGTAATGCTTACATTTTCACAGGGAGGAGGAACTGCGTGAGAGGAAAAAGGGACTGTCCTCTGGTAGACGGAAACTGGGGTTTCCTCCTATCTCTCCATATGCTTGTATGAAGGATTCTGTGCTTACATTTGTGTTTGATGATGTGTGGAGTGAAGTCCTAAGCTGTATGGAAGAATTAATCTGCAGACACTGGGAAGGGTCAGCCTCCGGTACGTATCACAATTAAACTGAAGATCCAGAGGGGGATTTTAGTTTTTAATTTTGCAAGAATGTAATGAGATAGATTTATTTGGGAATAATCTCTTGGGGGGGTGGGGTGGGGTGTATTTTGCTGACAGTGTGAGACATGCCTTCAAGAGATTTAACAGAGTTTACCGAGAAGACTCTCTACAAAAATTTGGATTCATAGCACGGTCCACACTTAGCCATGCCAGTCTGTATTGACAGGAATTCTCTATTGCTTTTCATAGATGATGAGAAAAATATCGTAACAGTAGAAACAATCAGAGCAGAACCTGGAAGTCCTTTGCAGTTTGATCCTCTGCCAGTGGTGTTACCTCGTGTGCCACAAACTAAAATGCCCTCAGTGACATCAAATCTGGTAAGTATTTTTAGCCAGCTAATTTGTGTAGGGATGAATCAATACAGTGCTACCTAAGCAAACAGATTCGAGTACATCAAGAGACTGTTTAGATACATAACTAGTTTGGATTTTTTATGAATGCTGACTGTCCTTTCTAACACTTTAAGTCCTGTTATTTCTCAATTGCAAGATTTTAATCCCTACTTTTCTCTTTAAAACTTAGTTATGTATTGGACAACTGTGGTGACTGTTCATTAGTGATGTACTTCTTTGTGCATTTTAATAATGTTTGATCTAAATTGTGAGATTGAGGATTGCATGGTTGAGATCCCTTTCTCACTAGCTTTAACTCGTCAGGCAATGAAGGGCAAATCCCACTGTAGTTGTGAAACAGGTTGTTTTTTTCCCCTCAGACACTGAATTTGACTTTATAATCTACTTTAGATGATCTGGTCCTAGAGTGGTGAGCACCAAAGTGTTAACTGTTAATTCATTTTAATTCAGCTCTTTCCTTCTTACTTCTTTTTATTTCTTTCTCATTTATTTCTACCCCTGCCTTTTCCTCATGTTCCCCTTACTGTATGTGTAGTGCCCAAAACCCAGATGTGGCCGCAAAAGCAAAAAGAGGAGAAAACCACCTCAAGTATGTATGCTGGAGAGATTAAAGCTCTGGTATTTTCTATTTGCTATTGTTAACAGTGGGTGGAATTTGATGTTTTTCCAGATCAGTCCGTACTCCAGGAAGGATTTTGCAGTTCTGTTCTTGACAAAAAACATTGACATACACTGAAAATTCGTTTTGTAAAGCTTGGGATTATAGCCATTGTTGGAAGATCCTGCCATGCAAATGAGAAACTCAATTAGAAAATATTAAGTACGACATAGCATGGTAGGATACATTTTCTAAGCATTACCATTTGCAAGAACAATAGGATGCAAAAATGCCTATCTTAGATGGGGAAATAATGTAACTGGGTATATGACTAGATATCATGGAAGAAAGTAATTTCTTTCTTCTGAAATTCTACACAGGGACAAAATCTGTGAATATGTGTGTCTCTGCCAAACTGTAATTTACTTATTTATTTTTTAAACTTTTAGGTAAATCTCTCTCAAGGGTCAAGTACTGGCTCTCAATGTAATCTAAATGGCTTGATGGTAATACAGGGGATCCAGTTACAGCAAAGGAATCTGCCTGTAATGGAGAAAACACTGTAAGAACTGTAGATCATCTGCTGTAAAGTAGAGCACTCTCATGGTGGGAGGGATTCAACCTGAAACATTGTAAGATAACTTTCTACACTGGAGAAAGCAATTTCTCAATTATTTTCCTGCTTCTTTGTTTACTTACTTGTCATCTATGAAACAGTATATTTCTAGAACAGGTTCTGTGTTTGACTGCTGCTGGTTCATCATTCAGTGAACAGCCGTGGCATTACTGTTGGTGCTAACTGACATCCTGAAAAGAGATGAAGATGGGATAGAGATTTGCTCAGAGCCTAGAATCTTCAGTCAGAAAGTTCATAGTTCAGTAAAGAAAAAAAGATAGGCTTCTTTTATCTTTTTCATTCCCAATTCTTCTCTAATTTGGCTGCAAATTACTTTAGATAAATTATGTAAAAAAATAAAGCACATCATCTCTATCCACACATAATATTGTTAATGTCATACGTAAATGAGTATTTTGGTAACAGGGTAGGTGTCAGTCATGTTGACCATCTCTCTTTCGGTTCTGTAATTCTTTTGTTAGGGATCTGGATGACAAACAGCTGGGTTCCAGTTCAATCCTCTCTACCAGAGTGTGGCCAAATCGTTCTCTAGAGCTCAGCACATCATCCCTGGCACATTCCACAAGAAGGCGAAACCCACCACCACGTACCCTGCATCCCCTCAACACAAGCCACTCTCGTACTGGGACCCCAGGGTCTGTGGATGATGTCTTCAGGGGAACTCACTTGTATGTTTTAAAACCAGTTTCTCCCTGCAAGTTACCATATTTAGAGAACCCAGTTTATACTAAAACCAGTCAGTTGAATAGAAAGAACATGAATTATTTGATTAAAGAAATCACCTGCTCATTAAAGCACAATCTCCCGTGAAAAAGCTGAGTTGCTAAAGTTGGTATTTACTGTGCTACAGGCTATGATACAGTGATTCACGTATTTAGGTAGTTTTGCATGCAAATTATACTGTACAAGCAAAGCAAATACCGCCATCTTTCTTGACGCTGACTTTCTTCTTCTATAGCCTGTTTTAAAGCTGCAAGTCTGTATTTTTTGGAGCTCAAACTACCTGTTGCTATTCTAGTCCAGAGTGGGCTATAAAGAAGGTGCCCATGTTAGGTTATCTGACCAAAGGACTCTTAATCAACTCAGTAAACCCTCAGTTACATCTAGAATGTCTTCTTTTTGTTTGGCATAATGATCTGACTGAATGTCATTTAGAGAGACCATGGGGTGTTAGGAAACAGCGTAGGGTTTAATATACTTGTGTATTCCACATGCGTTGTAAATTAACAGTTTCCTTTTAGTTTGTCAGTTTACCTATAAACTCATCGAGCCTGGTACTTTTTTTGTCGTGTACTGTTTAGAGATTTGTTCCTTGTCCCTTCATAAATGATGTTTCTACTTCCAGTATTTAATGCTTCTGTTCCCTCTCCTCAGGCTTTGATCAATCTAATGATTGTTAACATCTCCTCTTTAGTACCATGTATTTTTAAATGTATGTAGAGAGCACTAAGAAAGTAATTTTTAAAATGCATTCTTACAAAACATCCTTCCTTCAGTCCACTCCAGAACATGTGTAGAGCTAAGGCCTCTTGATCATTTCTAGCACTTCTTAAACATACAATAATTTGCAAATACCTTTCAGGTGAAAAGGCTTTCCTAAGAAGAGGCTGTCTCTAGAAAATAGAACACATTATTTTATATGCCTCCTGTGACCAAAACTTAATTGATTTTACATTTTGTGTAATTAGATTGGTTTAGCTTCCTTTAGAATGCTTCTAAAAGCCTCTTTCACCTATTCCTTGAAATACTCAAACAAAAGATGAAGAAGGTGGAAGCCTTGTTTCACCCCAGATGTTTTATGTGATGCTTGTAATAAGTGAAAGAGCTACATTCTGCACTTGCATTATACACATTTTTTCACTTGCTCTGCTTAAAATACAGGCCACTGCTGTTTATCAGGCTCATTGCTTACCTTTTCTTGCTAGGCTGAAGTTAGCAGTACTTCATCCTAAAGGTTAAGAACAAAGAGCAGAAAATAATGCCATGCCTGGGAATGGGCAGACAAGATTCTACCATTGTTTGCTAACTGCACATGAAGATAACACACATACATATATATATATACACACACACCCCCCTTTGATCTGCATATATATATGTGTGTATATATACACACACATATATACATATACATATATATATATACACACACACTCCCCTTTGATCTGCAGTACCAGCTGCACAGGACACTCCTTCAACAGGCACCAGATGAGGTGCATTTTAACCAACTAGCTTTTACATACACCCATTTCTGCTGGGGTATTCATTCTTAGACTCACTTTTCCTATATGCTTATTAAACATTATGAAAACTAGAAGTTCTTGTTAATAGATTAAAAAGATTTCTGCCAAACTTCACCCATGTCTCCAGGAACCAGTGTTGAACACCATCTTGTAGCAAAATTCTGCAATTGTTGCTTGGTTTTAACATCATTTGTCTACGTAATGCCAAACAAACTGACAATATTGTATGTTTTTTCTGTTCTTATTGGTGCATTTCAGCCTGACTGCACACGAGCAGCTTACCTCATCCTCCCCACTGCTGCTAAACCGAAATAATCTCCTACCACCTATTAATACCACCAATGTGGCAGGTCATGTGAGCACCGCAGGATCCCAGAGGCAAACGGTAAGAGGCACAATAATTTAATTTTATTATTCAGTAGTCTAAAATTGCAATGAGTGCTGATCCGATTACCAAACCCAAGGGTTCTAATTTATTTGTTATCTTGTGACAGCAGCTGAAATGATGCACAAAAAAGTCCTATCAATTTTAACTATCAGCATCACCCAGAGTCAACTGCTCTAATTCCAGTTAATGCTAGAATTTTTTCCTCCCTGGAACTAGACATAAAATGATTGACTTGGAAAATTAGCTTTAATTTCTAGGCTAATTATTTTAAATGTACTGGTGCAGTAAGGAAAACTCACAACTGTGGTACTCTTCAATGCAGAAATCTCGAGGGAACTCAAGTCGAGCTCACAGTGTAACAGCACAAGAAGATACCCACCAGCAGCTACCGGAGCGGCTTTTCTTACCTGATCATTCCTCCAAGCCTAACACAACCAACACATTCTTGGTAAAGCATAGCAAATTATACCAAATCATCCTTAGTTACTGTATAGGGTGCTCCAACAGTTAACCTAAGTAAATATTACTTGAGAAGCAAGTGTCAGAGGTGATCAGTGCCAGGGAGTTCATCAGGTTTGCCACTTGCTTAGATACTTTCACTTTAACAGAAACAACATTGTTTGGCACTTCTGAAACAAACAGGGCAAGTCACTTGTTCAGGATAGCTAAAGCACTATAATCCTCACAGCCAGCTCTGAACTACACCTATATGCAGCTGCTGGTACTAAACTTTTCTTGAAAAATGCAAGTTTGCAATGCTTGTGCAGAAAGCTAAGTATTACTTTAGGTATAACATTCAGTCTGTTATCAGCACTGATAATCTAGCATCTTCTGTGAAGGCTTAAGAACTGTGAGATAGGAGAGGATGCTTTAAAGTTTTGCATAGACATGAAGAATTAATTTCTGCAGCTGTATTCAGAAACACTGCTTTCTTGCATAAGTTTGCTGTACTGTCAGCGTCCAGCCTGGTTCTCTATCAAATGCTCTTGGTTTAATTTACTGAAACACTACTCTACTGCTGTCTTGTTTTATCTAAGAAAGAATTTTGATCTAGGCTTTAACACCTATCATCTCAACAATAGCTTTTAAATAGCTACTTGTTTAGTTTCTGTGTATAGTTTCAACAACCCTGACTTAGCAGTTTTGAGCAAACAAACTTTCCAAAATCTACCTTGAAACAGAACAATTTCCAGAAATGTTGAGAGTGCCTTTAACTGTGATCATTCTAAGTCCAAATGTTTTAAAAGTGTATTTTCTACTCCTAAAGTTGATTTAACCCTCCTTAAAGTTGTAAAATCTCTACTTAGACCTTTACAACATCTTATGAATTAAGAAGAAGATGTGTTTAAGTAGTTTGTAGCTGCATTATCATCTCAATGTTCGAAGTTTTTTGTATGCAAACATAAATAATGTGAACTTTCTTTTTAGCTAGATCCACAGCACCGCCGTTCGTACACTGTTACTGATCACAGTAATCAATCTCGGACAAGCAGAGGATCAATAGGTTCAGGTATGCTCATCAGTCACGCAATTTAATATCAAGGAAGAGGTAGGCTTTTAGGACAGGAATGCATTTCCTACATGGGTAATTGCATTGAGGAAGTTTTTCAAAGTTCTAGTTAATGTTTTTTTTTGTATTTTCCATTATAGAGGTTTTATAGTTGCAAAGAATATGTTTGGGTGCAGGTGTGCTTTTATTACCACCTACTATTTTAAATCATTTAAGGAAGCTTCATGTAATCAGCCCCACTGGCTCTCATGTCAAAGGTAAAAGCAGGAGTTGCCAGTTTGAACAGAAACTAGCAACAACTACTTTCTGTCAAGGGGTTTTCTTCTGCTGAACTATACAACTGAAAAATATTGTCTTATGTCCAAAGGAAACTTATTTGCACTGTATCTGGAAGGGATTCAAGTAGATATTAGAATTATTTTAGATCAACTTGAAGTATAAAGCCAGTAACTGTACAACTTACATGCATACTCTGATTTCAGAGTTGCTTGTATTGTTTAATTTCTAACAATTGGATGAACTTAATGGAGTTACTTGGTATAACCTCAAATTACGTATTTTTAATTGATGAAATATCATGGCAGCTGGAAGGCATTTTTGATGTGAATGTAATTTGTAACTCTTCCATCTTTTTTCCCTTCCTTCACTGCAAAGTTATCTCAAGTTGTTTGTGGTTAATACGCTTCAAAAATAGTTCTCATATATGCTTTGGAGTAGTTACACAGTCATAACCAGGGTTGTTTTGTGGTTTGATTAGGGGTTTTTTTTATGATTTTTCTTTCTTTTTTTTTTTTATAGTAGAGAGCTACAGTACTAAGTTGCCTGTGTGTACACAAGTGTTAGCGTAGACCAATAAAGCTTACCTTCAGAGATTTAGGTTCCGACTTCTTATTGCACACACAAGGGCTAGCCTAGTCAGTTGAAAAGGATTTTGTTCAGAGGTTTCGGTAGAACAGAAAGTTAACTTTTGTGCCCTGGAACAGATATGCTGAATGCTATCTTGATAGCTCGCAGCTGAGTTTGCCTTGAGCATGCCTTGCTAGCTTCAATACAAAGTCAAGCATTACCTCCACCTGGAAAGGGTGGCACAAAGCAGGGTGTTAGATGCACTTTTGAAAACTAGGTCTGTCAAGAGAAGTTACACTGGATTCATCACAGTGTTTTGGGATTCCTTATGATGTTGACAGGATTTCCAACATTATACTAACAAGATAGGATTGAAGCTGCAAAAGTTAATGTCAGCTGCAAAGGTTAAAGCAGCAAGTACATGGGTCATTATTAGGACAGGAGCAGTCTTTCTGCTTGTTCAGTAGCACACTGGCCTACTACTATTAATGTAAGTGGTACAAGAAACGACTAACAAAGGCACTAAACTGAAGTAACTTGTTTTTAAAGAAGAAAGGAATGGTTCCTACAAAAATGAAAAATATCTGCTCCCCCCAAAAAAACCAAAAACCCATTAACAATTAAATCTTTAAATCCAAGATGAGTTTTACAACTTGAATACTTCATAGTATTCATATTTTATGAAGTATTCAAGTTGTAAAACTCATCAAGGAATACAGTAGTTCCCTGCAATCCAACAACTGTGGAAGCACAAACTTTGTCCCTTCTGGAAGGCAAATCTCTTGTGCAAGTTTGAGACAAGTTATACATGATGCAGTTGATAGCCATGTATTAGAATAAAAAGCATGTTAGTTTTAAGCTAGCAGAGCTGTATTTGGTACTTAGTTTTAATACTTTCTGGAAATCTTAAAAGTTGTACATGATCTCTGTTTATTAGGTCTTCAGCTGCATGGTTCTGTCAAAGCCCACAGGCGAAGTGGATCAGTCACAAAAAGCAAACAGGGGTCTAACGTGCCATGAAGCATTCATCCATCTCCCCAGAGTCATGAACCACCTCTCATTCTTAGCAATGTCAACACTGTTTACAGAGAGTTTTCAAACACCCTTCCTTTTGAATAGTTATTTTTATATAAATCTAAGAAGCAGGTGCCAAAGATTTAGAAGGGGTATACTTAAACATTCCATTTTCTACCAGTAGAAGAGTTATACTCCGGTGGAAGGGTGAACACACTCCAGTGGACAGTAAAGCTTAACTACTAGAAAATCTAGCAAATGCTCTCGGTCATTGCTGTTTTCCTATTACTGGGTTGTGACTGGTTCATGTTGTTACAGGCAGGTTCTGCAGAACCTGTTGATTTTTCCGTTAGCTCTACAGAAGATTAATCAGGCCTTCCACAGCAGTAGTAATTTAAACTTTTTAGAACTGTATAACTGTATTTTTATGTTTAAAGCAATATTACAAAGCAAGTACTGCACGATACTGCTTCTACAACTCAACTTAAACAAGTTATGAATCCTGTAGTAATTTCAGCAGATACTAATACAGGTGTGTAAAACTAAGGTAGCAAACTAGATGCACAGAACTGACAGGTTCAAGGGTAGCACACCACTGACTCTTCCTGTGGTATGTACTTACACCTCAGTGACTGAAGAACGTTTAAGAGGCAAAAAGGAGTCTTTTAGTATAAGTAGTTCCAGACAGTATTCAAAGAAAATACAGTGTCTTCCTGGTGGGATATTTTACTGTATTTTCACACAATAGGTCAGCCTCCCTTTCCAAAAATACCTGCAAGTATACAAGCCTTCTGCACTCTCCCATGAAGTTCCACAACTTACAGCTGGAACGTAGCTTTTAGTAGATGTGTTCTGCACTGTGTGACATCCATGCTGGAGGTATTAGCTATAGTTGCCCTTATGGCTCCAAATAAGACAAAAACATGAAATACAGGCTTCTCAAAATAAGTGAGTAGTTGAAAGTCTTAGTCCCAAACAGTAAGCACCAGAATACAAGTATAAACACAAGGAGAGGATAACCACTTACTGTATTTTAACAAAGTTAGGACTCTGCATGAAAACAGTTGTTCCTTTATAACCCACTTTAAAAGCACTTTTTTCTACATTTCCTTATTACTATTTTTCAAATTACAATTCATATGGAAAAAACTTGCCACTATTCTTTTTGAAGTGGCTCCCCTGTTTCCCCGCTCTAAGTTATGCAATCTATCAAATGTTACTGGTACCTACAGAACAACTAATAATTTTTAATCAATATTGAAATTGAGTCCTGCTGATCCAAGCATGCTCTAATCAAAAAGAAGGGAAAAGAAGGCAAAGCAGAACTGTGCAAATAACTGGGTTAACTTTCCTTTGCATTTCTAGAAGGTAAAAAGCACACTTGGGCTCAGTCTAAATCTCTTTATATAGAGGTAAACTGCTAAAGAGAGGACTCTTCACTAAACTCTTTCAAAATGAAGTTTCTCTTAACAGTTAAAGACTACTAAGACATTATATAATGTCTTTTAGTTATCTCAAGCTTAGCTGCAGATAAGCATCCCATTTTTTTATCAGTGCTGTTCCTCAGGGAACAAGTTAGTTTTCTGTAGCCCTAGTGCATAAGTAATAAAAATACACAAATAAACTTGAATAGACTTCTAGTAATATAATGTAGTATTTTACAGTCTACAGGAGCCAGTGTGCTAAAAAAGTGTAACCAGTCTCATAATAAGGCAATTACTGGTTTCTGTACAAATGGTTGACACCAGAGACTTCTCCTGGGCTGTTTTTGTATAGTAAAAGTAATGTTCAAGTCATGTGTTATGCAACGTAACGGTATGTTGTACCCTCTCAGAATAATCTGTGAAAGCAGCCAAGTAAAAGGGAACAGAGTTACCATCTACCTCTAGCTACCCCTAGGAAGCTCTATTAGTCAGTTTCTGAATTCTACCACTGCAGCAGTGAGGACCTTCAACTCAACAGGGAAATGTTCACCTTGTGGCTCATAAGCCTTAGAAAAATAAAGCCAGCCCAATTCCTTGGAGTTGAAAACCTATCACCATTTAACTTCATACCCTACACACTATGTCAAATGGTTTAAAAATGACTGAAGCAAAAAAGCTTCAAAGTATTGTTGCTTCTTACAGCAGCAATTTACTTCTGCAATTAAAAGAAATGGTGACAAAACCAATGAAGTAGCTAATCACTACCATCCTCCTACAGCAGACTGGGTGGTGATGCTGTTGAAATAACATGCAGTACATTTCTTAAGCCTTGGAACTCCCTGTCATGGGACATCACAAACCCTAAAAATACATAGAACTGATCCAGTTCAGTGTATTTTTAAGTTTTTTGCTTCATCTCAGTGTTAGAGGATTTCTGCATGGTACAGTCTCATACTGTATTTCATCTGCCACAATCAAAGACCAAACGCTGCATGGCCCCTTTCATCTAATGCAGTTGTGTGTATTGACACCACAGTTAATAAGATAGCCATATTTTCTGGTGCTATAAAATATGTAGTATTTGCTTGACTTAAATTAGTCAGGAAAGTCAACATTATGAGTTTGTTTTGAACAGCTAACTAGAGAATGGAGATCAGCTGGGGAAGCAACATAGCAAAGAATTATGCAAAAAGTTTTCATTTATTAAATCTGTAATTTTCCAAAGTATCTTTATAAAACCACTGGAAGATCTGACAAACACTTGTTGAGCTGAAGTGCAAAGACCTTTAAAACCAGCAGGTTTACTACAAAAGACATATGTGAGTAGCGAAATGATAAGACTTTCCAACTTGGAAACCAGAAGAATCAGCATTGAAGACTCTCAAAGGTAGGTTTTACCATCAGCTGTACCAATACTCATTAGGTGCTTGGAAGAAAGGTGCTTCAACACAAGTTTAATAAACACAGTGGCAAGCCTAAACATCACACTGCTTCCCTACTGTAACAAAACTTTTAGTCAAGTTTTATCTTAACCGAAGAGCACCCAAAGGATTTTGAACAACAGCACCAGAACACTTTGCCTTTCTTGTTCACATGATGGGTTCTGGATCATACCTCCCAGTCACAGCAAGTTGATGTGCAGACACTCCAAAACTGTAGCCCAGGAAAGCTCAGAAGTTCTCCCAAATCCACGTGTTTCCGTACAAAATGATACCTAATATTTCAGCCTACACAGTTCTTTATTTCTTTCCTTTCTTGGCTGCAGTCTTCTTTCCTCCTTTTTTAGCATTATTCGTGTATTTTGCTTCCAGTTGGGCCAAAAAGTCATCCATTTCCTTTTTTCGATCTTTATTTTTGCTCTGGGGGAGGAAAAAAGAAAACAAAACAATTCTTTTATAAAATTTTTTACTACTTCCCAATACAGATTATTCTATTGAAGTTAGATGGCTACATAAAATCTTGGAATATCCTAAACAGAGAATGCAAGCTACAGAAAGTACACTATCATCAAGCAAAAGCCTACCTGAATTCTATAGGCTCTATACCTAACTTCCTGAGGTATCAAGACAGAGGTAGAGTGGTTGTAAAAATTCACAACATAAGGCTAGGAAAAGCAAAGCAATTTCTAGTTTAGACCCCAAACTCTTATTACAATTTGAGGAATGATTTAGCATAAACATTCTAGGAAGGCCACTGGATCATAGGAAAGAAGAAACAGAAAATGTCCCAAAAAGCAGAACGTAAACAGTTTCCTCCATCCCTGAGACACAACAGCAAAATAGTGAGACCTATCAACTCCTACATCCGTGTGGAATCCATTAGGAAGAATCATTAACACTCCCTGTGCAACTGCCTAAGGCTAGAATTTAAATATTCTGCTTGTGTATGCAATAATACTACTAGAATAAGTGTTATTTTTTAAAAAACACAGGTAATAAAATCCATACCATACTCTGATTATTAATTAAAGTATGCAGATAGCTAACAGGTTTTAATCTCGGGAACTCAAAACAGCTGCAAGGATCCAAAATACATAGACACTCAGGGAAAACACGATTTTAAGCCAGTAACATAATTATGTTCAACAGATAGAAAAAAGCATTACTTGAATCAGTGCTTTCAAGTCATCTTCTCCACCAAGGCCCAGCTCTTCTTTAGTCTTTTCTGCCTCTTTAGCTTCTTTTTCTGCCTAAAATAGCAAACTAGTGTTTTTATAAAGTATTGTGCTTGTTACTTGACAAAGTCTTACAGGCGTTACCAAACATTATTTTTTTGCATCTCCATACAAGTAGCTGCAGGGAAAAACACAGTTGCCAAATTTGACTACAGATGAGAAATCAAGTCAAAGAAAGCCCATTCTGGTTCTACAGTTTAGTCGAGCAAGACAGTTTTTTGCTGTTTCACAAGGCTGAATGTGAAGTCTATCTATCTGCACATTGTTTCCCCCACCCAATTTATTTGTCTTAGCAGCTATTATATTTTCTTTAACTGGTTACTGTGACGTGTATATAACGTATTCTACGAATACCTAAGTAGCAAAAGAAGTCCATTTAGTCCTGAACATTGTTGCACACTTGCCTAAAAACAATCATAATACACTTCCCACCATGTACACTTCTTAACTCTGGCAACTCATGGCTTTGTAAATAAATGCAGGGACATGTTAAACTGTAATAAGCCATTGTGTATAATAATGAAATAAAAGTAATATGCAACAGCCTATTACAACTCAAAGCCTTTCACAACAGTTTGTGAGAAGACATGGAGAACACAGGTGAACAAATGTGGAAGTCAAAGATACTGCACAGGATCTGTAACGCAGTGATCCTGTGGCAGTGTTGTGGTTTAAGCCCAGCCGGCAACTTGGAACCACGCAGCCGCTCGCTCACTCCCCCGCCCCGTTCCTTCTTCCCACCGCTCTCGGAGGGATGGGGAGGAGAATCGGAGGAATTTAACTCCCACGGGTTGAGATAAGAGCACTCCAGTAAGTCAGGTGTAATACAAACCACTACTGCTACCAATAATAATGATAAGAGGAATAACAAGGGGAGAGAACACAACCGCTCACCACCCGCCAACCGATACCCAGCCCGACCCGAGCAGCGATCTGAGCCTTCCGGGTAACTCCCCCCAGTTTATATACTGGGCATGACGGGCTGTGGTATGGAATACCCCTTTGGCCAGTTTGGGTCAGGTGTCCTGCCTCTGCTTCCTCCTGGCTTCCCCTCCTCCCTGGCAGAGCATGAGACTGAGAAAGTCCTTGGTCAGAGTAAACATTACTTAGCAACAACTGAAAACATCGGTGTTATCAGCATTGTTCCCAGGCTGAAAGTCAAAAACACAGCACTGCACCAGCTACTAAGAAGGAGAAAAAAATGACTGCTGTAGCTGAACCCAGGACAGGCAGACATCTGTCTCAGGAGCAGCTTCACTTATTTCTACTAAGGGAGATTAAAACCTTATAAGTAATGTTTTCTATTTGGTCCCTGATTGATAAAACGTACCCGCCTTTTTCTTGCCATCGTTTTCTGCTTAGACTCTTTTACAAAACCTTTGTAGGATGGGACTTCTCCAGAGGCAATGGCTTTTTCGATGATTTTCCGTATCCTTGGTTCATCTGTATAGTCCACACACAACACTGACTCCATTATTCTGTCCATGTCACCCTCAAAATCCATGTACGCTGCTTTAATATCAGCTAGCTCTTCTTCTGAGTCTTTATAACTCTTTTCGAAGTCTTCAATATCTTTTACGGTGATCTGAAGCAAACAGATGGCATTTGCTGGGTTACAGGATGTATTGGCCAAAAGTTTAGGAGGCCACCAACCACCCCCCACCCAGCGCTCGTTTTAGAGCTCGTAGGGCAGACGCGGCTACAGCTGCGCAGCAGCAGGCTTCCTCTTCCCGCAAGGTCTGCCA